TTGTGTCACATATACCCCAACCACCAACCCAGAAAAAGAACACCGCGAGTTGCAGCTGAAAACGCGAATCTTCAATGCGATCCACTATACAGAGTAAGAGCCTACTGTAAGTGAAGAGGGAGTATAATCGTCTGTTCTCAGGGGGGACGTCTCCATCTCATCGACCCCTCCCAGCTCAATGTCAACCGGGGAGGAGGAAGCAGCCATAAACGCCACAAAATCTACCATGAGTGCATTCGTGTACAAGGAGTTGATTGAGCCTCGCAGTATTCGAAAGAGGCCATCCCCCTAGTGGCCGGATTGATGATGAACGATCCCATGACAACGAAACATGCGGTGGGCGAAACAAATAAGTTAAAATCATTCGAAAGATATCAGAAATCGAAGCCTCCGCTAAGACTCGTGTGTCGACAGCTACTTGAACTACTTCGATAGCCGATCCCATCTCCGCTGGCAGCGTTGGCCCTCCTGAAAACAGACGCGATACGCTAGCAAGCGAGAGACCCTGGTTCAAATCCCGAGTACGGTTTTTTTGTACACAAGCGCACTAGTTTTTACTCCCATCATTGTTATAATCGACTCCGTTCCCCATGATCCATCTCACTACACGCTGTTCCTTCATCACGACGCTCATCAATCGGCACCACCCTCTGATTCGGCTCAGGACCGCAGTATCTTCCAAACGCGAACAGTTCACTGAAGACTTTCTCACTGGTGATCCATCCTACTTCGAAGTCGGTCTGATGAGCTTATTGTTGGCCCTCTGCTCGACGATATGGGCCGTCCATCCTGTTATTCTCGAAAACACAAACAGAGGCGTGAAGAGAGGTGTTGGCACCTGCGGATAAGCAATGACAATAGAATGATCATGAGCCTTCGTACTCCGCAATAGTGATAGGCTGAGGCACTGTAGAAGTCGGCGTTGGGATACATGCCTTTCTCGGCCTTCAATACTTCCTGCACCCGTTTCGAGATGTTAAAGAGTAGAGATGTCCGACCAGGCTTCTGAGACAGCGCTCTTGAACACTCCTCCATTATCGGTGATCGAGGATCGCCAGTCTTGTATCTATGAAGTTGCCACTGATTTCACATAGTGTAGCTCAGACTCACATCCTGTGCCCAAACCCCATGACCAGCTTTTTCTTAGTGAACATTTCGTGTAGTTTCTTCTCGGCATCCTCGGGGCTTTCGAACGTCGAAAGCAGCTCCATCGTGGCCTCATTAGCCCCACCGTGCAAGGGGCCCCTTAGGGTACCTCATATCGATACCAGCCTTCGAGTGCCTCCTGACCATCTACTTACCAATAGCAGTAGTGAAAGCTGAATAAGCATCGCTCAATGTAGCAGTAGTGACTCTAGCAGCGAAAGTCGAAGCATTGTAGTCGTGCTCAGCGTAGCATATGAAGGACTTATCGAGAGTCTCTGTGCACAATACGCTCCACTGAGTAGATATGAAAGAATCGTACTGATCATATCTCGATCAGGGAGGGGTGTCGTATCCAGTCTGATGGAGCA